CAATTAATAGAATTAATAACTGCCCAACGAATTCATAATCATTCAGTTAATCAACTCAAACACATATTTCAACGCAGTTTTCTCCAAACCACAGATGCTGCTTGTTTGGGCGCGTTTATTTTGTATTAATATTTTACTTTATTCATTCAAAGGGGAACACTCGCTCGTACGTTAGATGTTAAATAATTTTTGTACACATACTATTACTGTTGTTTGGTGTGAATACGGACTTGATTCCTAGAACCCCAGTATTTCAAAAGACGCTTTGCCGATTAACAAGAGATAGAGAGATACTGCAGGATAAACAGGAATGTAAAAGAAAGAAAGAGACCGGGTACAGGATTCATAATGATCTGATAAAGAATTAATGGAAAATGAGACGTTGGGTGGGATAGGAAAGATAATATATTGCATTGTGATTAGATTACCTTCTATGAATTGTATTGTGTTGTATTGTTCTGCTGTGAAGTGTTAAACTGCGTTATTGGCTATCGATACATTGTTTTGTATTAAATATATAAGCAAATCAAACCAGTCTTGTGAAGGAATTGTTTTAGTAATAGTAATAGTAAAATTTATAACTATTCGTGCGTAGCGGGTTTATATGATTTAATTGTAGTTCATAGTACAAAACCTGTCGATTACATGTTTGGTTTCAGCATGAAGATATTTTCATTTTAAAACGATTTACAAGAGGGAATGTCTGCTTTAGTTTCGACAGATAATTCGTTCCAAAATTCACAGTCTGTCTGAAAGGTCGGACAGAACTTAATTCCTCTTTTTTTGCATACGATTGACCTTGAAAAACGCGTAGATAAGCATGTGACTGGGGCGAGAGGAGCGTGGCAAACGTGGACATGCATTTTCGGCGGCTCCCAGCTTCTACGCGCAGACCCGAAGCCCTCCTCCTTAGCGCCCGCCAGGCAGGCGAGCTCCCAGATATTTTGTCTTCCCTCCTTTACTTCCTAAAATAAAATAAATGAAATGCAAAGCCTGGAAGTTTCTTTCGGGGCGGAGGAAAAATAAAACAACGAGCGAATAATGGGGGAAGCGTCTAATTTGATTAAAGAAACAAATAAAAGAGTAATAAATGGAAGCTGTTTTATTGTTTCCTTCCTTGAGCTGTCACTTAGACGCGTCGGGCAAGGCCGCTGCCGCCGGTCTGGGCGAGTTTACGGCCTCGTCCACCAGAGGCGCTAGTGTCGCAGAAGCCGCCACCGTCGCTTCGCCTCGCGCGTCCCTGCGCGAAATCTGTGTAATGGATCATGATACTTTCGAAGCGTCCGCTTAGTTTTCATGAGCCTCCGACGCAGGCAGTGAGGACGAAGGGAGCTGCGGCGAGGACGAAGCGAGCGATGAGGATGTGGGCTGCGTTAACGTGAGAGGAGGCGAGGACATCGCAGAGGTCGTTAGAAGAGATGTCAAGGACACCGAGGGTCTTGAGGAAATCCGATTGATTGATTTAAATGTTTTCGGACACGTCAACTGCTATGGTCATTTATCCCGTTATTGTGGTGCATATTGTATCCCCGGAGATGACGGCGATTCCATCTCTGCTGCATAGTGAGATCCTCTCGCGGACATACACGTCGGCTTGCGGGGAATCTCTCCTCCAGATATTTCCCCTGGGGAGGGGGGGTCGCTTCAGCCTGGACAAGCTCTAAGCTTCCTACTGGTCTCCCGGCATAAGCGGTAGTGTAGTGTGTGATGTCAGTGTGTGTATGTAAGGGGAGAAGGTAGGCCAGGAAGCGGTAGGAAAGATCGTGCGCGGTCCGTGGCACGTTTGTTAGAGTACTACATCGGAATTTCTCATCAGGATGGTGCTTTAAGTGTTCCGAGTAGGATGTGATTACAATGCCAAATAGTTTAGGGCTAGTTTAAAAGATTTTGCTCAATGAAAGTAGGTATTAAATAGTATATATGTGTACCGTTTAATTTATATAATTAATATGCATGATCGCGCGAAGAAAATGTAATTATGTTTGTGTTATTTATATTTATAACTTTATCAAAGGCCGTATACACAACGAGCTTATTGTAAATTGGATTGTAGCAGCATGTGATTCTGCTAATTTTGTGTGCGTTTATTCACCTACGTTTTCTATTTTCTCGAGTTAGAATTTTTCCTTCGCCGCACTAAATAGGATTTTCTCAAAGTGATAGTTCGAAAACAGAAGAATAGTGATCGGTCTAGAAGCGAAGGCCTTATCTCAACTTAATGTTTTTTTGGCCTTTAATGTTATTGAAATCGTGCTGAATATTGATGAATAACAGTGAATCACGACTATTAGATTATTTTATTGTATAGATTGAATGTAATGTGATTATATGTTCCTAAGCCTAATAAATCTTACACGAAATGATTTGAAGTGTTAGTGATATTAATATGACTTGATTTGAATGATGATGTTTCAGTGGTGTAGTGACCGGTAGTGGAAACGGAAGGACCCTATTCTCTCACATGAAATTCTCTTAGAATATAATCAAATATGAACCCTGGAACCTCGAGATGGAAAGTAAGCTGTTTGACACTACCACGGAACAGTGCCATTCTTTAGATTATATTTAATTCCATTGTTTTAGTGTTGTTCTTTCTATGTTCTTTTCTTGATTGTACCCTTTATCGTGGAAGATTTTTAGCTTATCGCACTAATTTGAGTAGGATTGTATGGACTTTCTAGAACATTCTTAATAATTTATTTCTCACGTTTTAAAATTCGAATGACTGCGAACATCGTCAAAAGAGAAGTAATTTCATCCTACAAACCATTAACAATCTTCTTTGGGAGGGTCTCTACATTTGTAAAAATATGGTTCACACAAGAAAGTATTATAAAATGTAGTCAATGTTGTTGAATTATCCGTATTTAACTTAGTAATTTATATTAGACGCAATATTCGCTAACGATCTAAGGATAACAATAAATAAATATTGTAATATATTTTTCAGTACTTTGGATGCTAAATCAGAAACTGCTCATGGGAAATCGTTTCATTTCTCACAATTGAATTCAGATGTGATCAAACCACGTATTTTCGAATTATCACGTCCTAAATTAATTCCAGGAAAGTTATTTTGTTACATTCCGGTAAAATATTCGTGGATCTCTGGAGAAGCCTTTGTTCCTGACAGCTATTCTGCAAGGGAGATTATATCCGGATTAATAGTTCAAAACCCCAGCTTCAGTTTGAAACAAATCGTTTTCCCTTCCCACTCTTTCGCTATACGCTCGTAAAAAAACAAAGAATGGCTAGGCTGCGGGCTCCGTCGCTCGCCCTTCACACTCGACCTATCGAAAAAGCTCGACGCCCCGAACAGTGACCGCCGCGGGGCAGCCACGCACATCCGGTGGCGTTCACGCACTCGTAATGACTTCAACAACTCCCCGACGTCGGGAGCCTGTTTTCATCAAACGTGATCACTCTCTTTGTTTCATTCCTTTTTTCCGACCGACGGAGAGAAAGAGAGCGAGTTACAAAATCGCATAGAGATGACGTGTTAGCAGCGGTAAACCGAAAAAACATAAAAGCGAAGTATTAAACCTAACGCACCCTTTGTTTACACAGTCTCTGATGCCTTGAACGCTGTGATTCAGGGACCGGCCATTGGAATAGAGCCAGAGGGGTTTGATAGTGGGCATTTACTTTATAGCATTTGAGGGGGGCGTGCTCTCGCGGTCTTTCCGCCTGGGCAGACTGCCGCCCGCAGTGTGGCACCGCCCGGCCACCCCTATCACCAGGAACGGAGCCTTTCAGCGGCGGTTCTGCTCTCATTACCAGCCCGCGGCTCGCACCGCAAGTGTTTTTCCACAGTTTCCCATACGGTCGACCAGTGACACTGCAGAACCAGGTGCTTCCCTGCACAATTCATCTCCTTTAATCACAACCGCCATCATCTACCACAAACCACTACCATCTCGGTCATTATCCCTAACAGAACCTAGGATGGGTCGTTTTGCCCGCCTTTTTTACGTTCTCGCCATTAATTACTCAAGAAGAGAAAGTATGGATAAAAGTCAGAATGTTGATGCATCAATGACGGTGAATGGCTTTACACATGGAAGTAAGGCTGGTTTAGTAATCGTGAACAGACGAGCTGATTGCGGAAAATATTAACAATTATTGTGCATACCTTTCATTTAATTAGCTACGAGAATCCTACCAAGCAACGACAGGAAAGATGATCGATAGGAGTAGATAGAAGAATAAAATATTGGAAGAACTGAAATAAAGCTAGGACTATCTTTTAAATTACGAATATATTAACTGTGTGATTCACATCTTTATTTCTTTTCATATTCATCAAAAACAACTGATTCCTTAGCAAGTCTCTACACCTTGACATACAGCTCTAACTTTACCTCTTCATCACCTCAATCTCAACGCCTACGTCCACATTTGCCTTCGTAGCCAACTCACCAATGCCACCTCGCCCCCACTTCCGTTTCCACCTCACTCTACAAATCCGCCCCGCCTCTGCCATCATCCCCACCTCCGCTGCCCCAACCAATTCTCTAATGTCAGTGTGTGCGTCGGGAGATTTAAATGCGCCGCGCGAGCGAAAGGGAACCTCGCGCTTTCGGGGCAGGCCAGACCCAGTGCAGCCACCGGAACGGGGAGCTCGGGGGCGTGTCGCAATTTGACATCTCCCACGATATGTAACGGGCTACGGGCACCAGAGCCACAAGAATAACTGAGTTATTTGGAGAGTGAAAACCGACGCACAATGCTATTGAGTGGTGGTTATAATTGTGATCTGGTTAAGACCCTGGCTATTATTTGGAAGGAAGTGTGACTTGCGCGTGTTATTGATAATTTGCTGATATTTTAGAAATTGTTTTGGAAACTGTTTTCTCTCCAGAATAAACAAAATTGGCAAAGTGTATGGAACTAATTTGCATTTAATTATTGTAAATATTTTTCATAATATGTGTCGCTATTGTGGCTCATTATTTGGAAGATTTCAGCTTCTACTTTCATTCCAATTTTCACAGATTTATTCACACCCACCCACAACCTCCATCACTTTTATCACTACCTTCATCATCACCTTCACCACCACCACCACCACCATCACCACCACCACCTCTACCACATCCTCCTCCTTCTTCACTACTACCATCATCTCCAAAAATACCTCTACCACCTCCTCCGTTACCACCACTACCACCACCTACTCTCACATTTATACCACTTCCTCGTCCTACATCAATACCTCCTCCTCCTTCACCACTACGATCATCACCTCCACCACTACCACCACAACCTCCACCATCTCCTCCATCACCAGAACTAAAACCTCCGCACTTGCTCCGTTTCCATTTCCTCTTGTCTCCCACCTCGATCGCCTCCACTGACGCGAGCGCCTCGTAACGACGTATGCTGCGGCGCGGCGACCATTTTACGGGGCAGTTAGCGGCGCTTAGATCGCGCGTTGCAATCTAATCTTCGCCGCTTTTAAGGATACTTGCGGCCGAGGATTAAGTGCGGCTCCACGGCCGAGTGACAGGCGACCGACAGACATCTCGTGTTGCGCCGGGCAGTGAATCAAAACTTGAGAGGGACGCAGAAATTACATAGTGAATCGAACATCAAAGGCAATTTTTTTCAGCGAAATTTGAAGTCTTGATAATACATTGCCATCTCCCGACTTAAAATAAAACTTATAGGAGAAAGTTGTTAACTGGTGTTGTACATTTAACCTAGAACGACTTCAAAATATTGAAACTAAATACTTCCTAGTTTGTACTCATCTCCAGTCAGGAGTCATTTCATGGAAGACGTAGATGTGAAAACACAAGAAATTTAAGTGTTCCTTTCATGCTCACTTCACTACTACTATCATCTCCTTCACCATTACCACCACCTCCACAACCTCCTCAATCACCAGCATCTCGTACCATCACCTCCTTCACGACTACGACCGTCACCACTACCACCATCACAACTACCACCATCACCACCTCCATGATACAATGAAATGACAAGAAAACTATAGGAAGTGCTACCATTAAAGTATATAAAAAACATTAAAATTTCAATCCTGAGTTGCATGGAAATAATGTACTAATAATATTACTTGTATGTTTTTGACTTAAATCTCTTGGATGCAAATATCAGGGTAATTTCCAGAAGTCCAGAAGTAACCCGAGAATGGGGATCTCTGTCCATAGCTTCGTATAATTTCAAAACCCTTATCGTATTAGATTACACATATATAATATTTCATGTGCTACATTAAATACGAAATGTTTTATCAGTGATTGTAATTATAAAACTAGAACTCAGGAAACCCAAATCAATCTCATACACATTTAATTCATTTCCTGATTGTGTACAATACCTCCTAATTTTCGAAATTATCACATTGAATTCTAAATAGTAAGATTTCAAAATTTCTCAGTTATCCACTAAAAATCGCTTCTTGTTAAAAATGTCGCTTTTTCCTGTCTCTTTTCATTCCCGCCTACTGTGCACCGCTCGCTGCCTATTCGCCCTGCGCGTTTCCTACCGAGGTGCAGCCGAGGGACGCGCAGTGCTTGCCTTGCGGGGGTCGCGTAAAAACCCTGGGCAGATGCTCTAGACGGCACCGCGTTTCAATTAACGTGCCCGCCACTTATTGAGGTGTAAACGTCGCCCACCGCACTTCCAATGACTTCGTGATTACGCGAGAACGTCAACATTCACGACGTGGTGGGCGGGCTGTCTACTTTGCGCGTTTGGTGCCTTCATACAGTCGTGTAGGCCGGAAGACAGAAAAAATTAACATTTTGGTTTTATTATCTAATTTTCTTCTATTTTTTATCCCCCTTCTATCTCTTTGGACCACCCTCATTTTTCATCCTATTCCCTTGTTCACCCTTTCAAATTTTACATCTTGTCTTTTTCCTTTTGTCTTCTCTCTTCTTCCTCTCTTTTCTTTACTTTTCTTCTATCTCTTCGCTCTTCACCTCCCTTTCACTCTCTTTAACTAGAATGTGACAGTTTTTTCATTTACATTTTGTGTGTTTTCTCATTTCCATCTTTGCACCTTTTGTCGCCTTTAGATTATTCCCTTCCGGAGGGAAGGGAAGGAGTCCCTCCCAGCTGCCATTATCTCCAAAATCAACCTCAAGCTACTACCGCACACCTACGAATCACCACATACTTCGTAGGCCTAAGGCTGCAGAGTTCATATAGGTCACTGTGCATAATGAATCAAAAAAGAATTCGCTTTATCCAGAATGCGAGTATTCAGCATGACAATGCGAGGATTCAGAGAATGTCAGTGTTCAGTATAAAACTCTGTCATCAGGCCTGTGCACATTCTAGCGAAGTGCTAGTTATATCATCTCACCGTATTAAGGATTAGAACGCCTAGTTTCATGGGTAAATGAGACAAAGTGTATCGCTAGTTACATGTGCGCCTGGTGTTTGCTGACTATAATCAGCAAACATTTACTTTTTGTCTTTCATTTGATATACGACTTATTTCCTCTCCAGATGTAACACTTACTGGTGTTTGTGTTTTAGTAGTCTATTATAACTGCTACGTACACGTAATCTTTCTTTAGCATATTAGATAAGGTAAGAATTGACGTTTTTGACGGTGTAGAGCAAGAGGTGTGTGTTCTAATCATCTAGGCCAGTGACGTGAAGAATGTTGAAACCAGTCGACCAGTGAAACACAGCGTAAGGCGTAGCAAGACTGCTAAATTGGTGAACACACCATCGTCTGTTCCTCCCTCCGTCTGTGTCTGTCTGCCCCTCCTTCTGTCTGCCTGACTGTATTTCCCTCCCTCCGTCTGCCTGTATTTAAATTTAAATGTATTCAAACTTTTAACTATTGACTAGTGTCTCTCGTAAGAAGTCATGAGGTACACGAAAAGAAGATAGTGTTGTTTCCTACGTAATAAGATCATAAACAAAGCTCCATTAGCCAGTAATGCTAATGTTAAGAAAATTTAAAATAATATAAAGGAAGGAAAAATTGCAAATTATAAAATAGAAATATAATGTTGATATTATGGCATATATATCGTAGAGAAAACACGATTTAATAAATTCAGTACCGGAAAAGGTGAAATATAGTATTCCGATATTTTAATGCTGTTTTTTAATTATCATTGGACATAACATCTTTGGTTTCAATGTAATAATGTATTTCAAATAAGATCAAAGGTTTTGTAACTCAAAGCATTTTTGAAACATGCGTGATATATGTTGTTCATTTCAAAAATCTCATTGTATCCATAGTGTTCTTTGAGATATACAATGTAATAACGTTAACTATATAAGGGAGTAATGGTTAGTAACAAATGGATAAAAGAAACTGAGTAATGGCTAAAAGATATTCATACATATGTCATTTATTAATATTTTCCCCTACAGTCTTTGATATTGAATTATTTCTACACGAGTTTAGTAATTAATGAACTGATTGTTTTGTTATGAATGTTTGTAGATACCGGTCCGTTTCTGTTAGACATCTTGCTTACACAGTGTAAAAATTCAGAATATACAATTCAGGTACAATACTTCTAAAAGCGTATCACTTGAAACAAACGAACGGTGCAGTCCTAATTTAAGAATTTAAATTCCAGATATAAAAGAAAAATTAAATCCGAAAGTTCAGGAATGATAGCCGTTAACGATATGTCACCAAATACAATTTAGTCACGAACAAACCGAATGTGTATATTGTAGTAAAATTCTTCACACTCGCATTTAAACCATTTACGATTAACTTAAGCCCTTAAGAAGTCGCGTGTGTGCATTAGTATCACAAGAGCGTTTCTTTTCACTGCATATTAGTTTAAATATATTGATTATTGACTTTGGAAATTCCCAGTATCTTTCAACAAGACATTCACAAGATATTCCACCCCGTCCCAAAACTTCTGTTTACGTTTGAGGTCTTGCAAAATTCATATCCAGGAAATATAACAGTCGAAAAATAAGCCACTTCAGTACCTGAAGAACAAAAATGGATATTTGGGCGAATAAATTGAAATATACTTGAAGCTTTTTATGTGTATAAATGACGTATGAATAAAAATCATTTTCTGATGTATGTTTTACATATCTTTAATAAGGTAATTGCACAAATATGTCGAACGTATTCTGGAATTGCAGTCCTTTCATGTGTACTTTTTCAAAGCCCTGTACTTTTTTAAGAACTAGTTCACTATTTATTCTATTCACTAGTTTCTACGATTGCATATCTGTTCTGTACTAGGACTGTTGATGTTAAGTTTAGACAGAACGGAGTTCCTATTAAAAATGACAAAGTCAGTACGAGGTCGGTGAATTGATATTTCGTTCTGGTTCAGTTTGTGAATCCAAATCTAAAATATATATTAGTTTTCACGAACAAGACAATGTGAACTTTGAGATTGTGCATTAGCGCAATAAAATATAATTTCTCTGCAATAACATATAAGTAGGATTTACTGTAGGTATCAGAATGTAAGAATTTGTATGAGAAATAGCTTACAAAATAACTAAAATTATAATTATTAGAAATATCTATTCGGATTGATTGGTTAAACGCGTCTTCGGCAGAGTAAATTTCCTGCTACATTATGATTGATGATCTTTGGAAATATTTAGCTAAATGGTTCATCGAAATTTATTTGTAAATCAATTTTTAAAATCATAGACTGATTTGAAATATTTCTAGCCCGTTACATCTCCTGCGGTATCACTAAAAAGATAATAAACATAACAAAGACAATGAGGGTGGAAATTTAAACTTCGTAATTAAAGTTTGGTACTTACGAGGTTAAGCTTTGAACCATCGCCATTGCGCCCGATTCAACAGTCACCTGGAGTCAATTCTACGGGCAACTGGATTTTATATTTCCTGGATAAGAATTGAATATTGCAAAACCTCCAACCTAAACAGAGGTCGGGGGGGGGATCTTTTCTTGTTGAAATATACTAGCAATACTACGGACATCTGGAAAATTATGAACCAACAGATACCTGGAAAATTGATTTTAAAGAACCCGCGTGAATTGTTCATTGAATCATTCCATAAACCTTTCTCATTGCTAATAAGACCGTCAAAAGGGAATAGCTACTGCAGTTTAGCCAAGAGAAATCTCTATTATTCGATTCTTGGCTGTCCATAATGAGCCGCGTCTCAGTCGATCGAGCTGACGTGTAGATCATCATGCTGTGGACTACTTCAGAGCTAAACTGCCGAATAATATAGAACACAGTATAGCTGTGAAGCAGACCACGCCATGATGATCGAATCGTCTGCTCGATCGACTGAAACGCGGCTCTACGAGAATCCAATGACGCCGGCCGTGGAAGCCTACGAATCCATCTGTATTATTCGTTAACAGTGTACACGCTGGCCTCGCCACGCGCGCAATGCTGCCGACAACACGGGCCCGCTGCGCGGCGCAGAGCGCGACCGCCCGCGCGGATCTGCCGAAACACTCCGCTGTCGTTGGAGCACGAGAGCGCGAGCACGGAGGCGGCGCGCAGCAGGTCGCAGACCGCCGCGAGGGTTCTGAAGAGCGCCTCCGTGTGCACGATCCTCGTGATCCAGATGAGGTCGTCCATGAGGCGCGTGCCGTCCGCGTCGTACGCCGGCGGCAGCCGCAGCGCCAGCGCGGCCATCTCCGCCGCCGTCTCCCCGACGCCGGTCGTCAGCAGCAAGCGCACGTACTTCAGGGACCTGCGACAAGACGTGCAGTGCTCTCTCTGTGCGCTTGGTTGTGTTTTGACTTGTTTCGATTCAGGTTTTTATTTTCTCTCTACCTCTTACGCAGTGGAGAGAAAAAAAGGTAATGCTGAAATATGTACAAACGGCAAATTTTCGATAGAAACACCTTATTACAGGGTTCTGGTTACGAAAAAATGAATACATCCAGTTGCTAAATTTAGAAAAACAAATCCTCTAACATGTGGTGTAGCCAGAATACGTGTTTAGAGAGTCCTTGACACCGAAAAATTGAATGACGGCTATACGTGTGTTCGTCCGTCCGTTCGTCCGTCTGTCCGTGCGTTCGTCCGTCCGTTCGTCCTTCCGTTCGTCCTTCCGTTCGTCCGTCCGTTCGTCCGTCCGTTCGTCCGTCCGTTCGTCCGTCCGTCCGTCCGTTCGTTCGTCCGTCCGTTCGTTCGTTCGTTCGTTCGTTCGTTCGTCCGTCCGTCCGTTCGTCCGTCCGTCCGTTCGTCCGTCCGTCCGTTCGTTCGTCAATCCGTTCGTTCGTCCGTTCGTTCGTTCGTTCGTCCGTCCGTCCGTCCGTTCGTTCGTTCGTCCGTTCGTCCATCAGTCCGTTCGTCCGTCCGTCCGTTCGTCCATCAGTCCGTTCGTCCGTCCGTTCGTTCGTTCGTCCGTCCGTTCGTCCGTCCGTTCGTCCGTCCGTTCGTTCGTCCGTTCGTCTGAACATTCGTCCGTCTGTTCGTCTGTTCATTTGTCCGACCGACCGACCGATCATCCATCTGTCAGCCACACTGTCTATGAACAACGCTATTGACTAAACCGTTCAGCCGATTTTCTCCAAAACTACAATTACGAAGATTGAGATTTTTCCTCAATGAAATCTCTTTAATAAAATAGATTATGAAGTCAGATCATATTGTACAAGTTTTCGAAAATTTGAGTACTTTTCTCATAATTTTGCGTGAAAGTACGTACACTTTTGGCACCACTAGTTATTGTTTTTTTCTTTTTTTCTTTTTTTTCAGGAAGACGGCTCGTACTCCGCACCTAAATTTTAGATCAGGTTTACTTAGACACATTTCTCCAAACAGATGCACCGCGATGGCGTCTCTTGTTACACCGGAATGTGATTCACTTTCACCGCGAGCTATTGGCCGCATTTGCCGACAACTGGGTGGTTGGTATAACGTGAAGTCTCGTGCTTCCGGGGAAGTACCGGAAATAGTTAATTTTACCGAGCATCTGTCACAGAGCTGTTTCATGTCACCGCGTCTCCTGCACATATTGAGGGTCATTCACCCTTCGGAAATACACCGCCTCTAGTCTCAATTCTCCCTTCCAGCTTCTAGTTTGGAAGCCAGTGCCCTAGCCCCCATACTATAAGGAAAACTTCTTGTATCAGAGTGGTTTTTGAACAGTGTTTTGTCAAATACCTCGCTACAAATCCAAAAGTAGGTAAACATCACCGCACGCCCAAGAGAATCAATTGCAGAGTTCGTTTGAACGTCATTAGATGTCGCCTACCGCAGTGCGTCTCACCAGAGGACGAGCGGAATGTGGTGGCCGCTAGGGCAGGAGGTAGAGATTTATGGTGTTGAACTTCAGTATTGAGCGGCCATCTCATTGGCGAACTTCAATATTCAGTACGAGCGACCATGTGATAGGCCGGCTTTTTCGGTCTAGAATAGTCGCCCCATCCTACTCATATATAAATCCGAGCGCTGTCAACTCCGGCGCACACTAGCCCTGAGAAAGGCCACGAAATATTCGAAACGTCGGCAACCCAGCTGGCGGGATTGGTTAAATTGTTTGTCAGTGGACTGCAAGCGATACCTGTGGGAATAGCCGATACCTTTCACTTACATTGATTGGTAGCAACACGGAGGGCCAGAGTACCTATTGAAGACATATACTAGAGCCGTATTCTTCAGGAATTGACCATGCATGAGAGGATTGCTGCAATTTTGGGGAAATTAGAAAACATGAATTGAAAATTGTGAAAATAATATAAAACAAAAGAGTTGATTTAATATTACATAAAATAAAACAAATGCATCCCTTCCCGTTGATAATTTAGATGAAAGGTGCGTGAAAATTCCGTGGGCATGTTGTCATAGTATTGACATTGAATTAAAGAATTTCTAATAATAGGAACAGAGGAAATTGGGCATGGAATAGAATATTAAAGCTTGTGAATGATAAAAAAAAGGAATAGTGCTCTTCTCTGAAGATTATGCGTAGACTTGTTACTGCCTGTAGTTGCTGGCGGGGCGCGACACCACGCTCACAGTACGGGCGCTGAGCGATGCAGTCGTAGATGGTCAGGCGACGGAGTTACGCAAGCAACATGGCTTCCAAACTCCAACATGGCAACAAAGTGGAATAACAGCAAATGCCACCAGCGATAGAGTTCTATGTATCAATTAAAATATGTTACGAATTATGCAATGCATTGTTGAAACGGCGTTAGTAGCTGACACCAGAATGTTAATGCTGTTACAGTTACAATAATACGCAACAGTTCGCACATGCTAATAGATCATAAGCAGAGGAAGTTCACATTTGATCACAGTTTATAATCAGTTTGCATTATACGGATATACGTTTTACCATCATATGACATATTAGTGTATTGCTCTCGCGGATAGCACAGGTAAATTAAGAACGAAGTACAAAACACATGCTCTGCCTTATCTGTGTGCGCAGACAGATTATTTAGTGAAGTTAATGCGAAATACTTGAATCCGTAACAATATTGCACTCGCATGACACATGATTAATTGAACACTGACTAGTAATTAATTAAAAATAGAACGATTAGCAAAGCGCACTGCGGGCACATCTGCTCGGAGCGAGTTCCCAAGAAGGAAGTGATTTTTCCGCCGGAAGGGAGATTGCTTTATAACTCACGTGATGGGCTGTTGCCGCCGCGAGTATCTGTGCACTCGATGTTACAATTATGATGTGTTTGGAAATAATGTAATTTTGATTTATAATTAAAAATGCATGGTGCGGCTGGGCAAGAATTAAATGTTAGAAATAATGATACGCGTTGTATTGTTAATATAATAAATAATTCAGTGGGTATTAATTCCTAGAATTCCTGACGGATGCGACATACCGGCGCCGCGGCGCCGCGCATGTCAGGAGTGCTTGAATGATTCCTGGAACCGGGCGCTGTATGCGCTGTTTACAAAATCCCTTATTATGTAACGAGATGTTTATGAAAATTTGATATAAAATGCGTATAATATATTTTGACATAAACAGCATGATTTTCCTAACACCAGCCTTCCACGCGGATTCACTTGGTCAGCCAAAATCTCGACTCTGCAAATAATTTTAGCATTGCAGGAATGTCTTTTTCGTAAGGCTTGGTACCTTTTCTGTGTTCATTGTTACAACGCTGAATTCCGTGATTACAGTTGATGAAAAATGCGTTTTTAGAAAATTTAACAGTCGAGTGAGTGCGCGGGTGGAATAAATGCCGCCTTTGAATGTATGCCTTATTTTGCTTGTTAATAAAATTGAATTGGATTTATGACTTAATTACGTGGCGAGACTCGGGCCATCGGACTCGCTCTTCCATCTGACCACCCAAATTTCAGTACGCTCCTTCAACCGCTAGCGGAGAACCACTCGGGCGACTAAATAGGAATAAAACAGCGCTGCGCATTGATGTTTGAATTCAGTATAGCGGAAAGCCAGATACTATCTAGTTATCTACTGAGACACCAGATAGTTGTAACGTCTATTCCTAGACCCACGCATATATGCGCCAATTTCGCACTAAAGGGACCAACGTCCTCACTATAGGTAGAATTAACACCACCACGCGATCGTGCCTGTTCCATTTTTTCCCCCACGAGTGTGATGAATTGTAAGAATACTTTCATATACTTTTGTAATAAAATATTCCTCTGATGCTAGTTATCGTGTAAATTAAATGAATTGGTTATTCACTACGAGTAATTTCTAGATTATTACTGTGAGTTGTAGACATTTAGATCCATAATAGTGACTATTATCTTTTTACTATAAAACATTTAGCTACCTACACATCCTCTCTCCCTCCCTTTACCATTCATATTTCTTATTAGATGTTTACCTTGCTTCGTAATTACATTTTAATTTAGATTTTTATTATGCCATTATTATATTGTTTGTATTTGTCATCAATTATTTGTGAAGCCAAAATAGAGGACTGATTTTTCAGATTATCTCCAGAAATTTCTTTTCTGGAGAATAATTAAAATTGTTTAAATACACTTCGAATCTACGACAATGCCCAGTTGATATTATTTAATAACTTCCTTAAAACTGACGACGAAGGGAAGCTGTAATATTGAGAAAAATGAAGATGTTCGTTGGCGGCTGCAATATCGCCCTGAGATGGCGTCTGTGACACTAAATTGCATGTACACCAGAAGATTAAATGAGTGGTACACATAAAAACACTTGAATCTATTGAAGTTTGCTCTTGAGTGCAGTAAGCCATGTTCGCCTCACTCATCAGTTTCACCGAAAACGCAAAGAAACGAAGCTAGCTTAGCTCCCTCCTCAGACGACGCGATGATCTGCTGAGACACCATCGCAGCGCCTGCGTCAGCCAGTTTGAATTTGACGCGGCAGCCCGAAGTAACATCTAAACTCAATTTTCTGGAAGACAATTTAAAAAAAACTGGATTTGTCGTTCTTTATAAAATTCAACACACAATCTGGAGAATTTGGTTGTGAAGGGAACTTCCAGATATCCTGTATATATCTTTTTTGTGACTAAACCTCAGATTCCCATTTTTTTTGTCAAAAATGTTTTGCTCAAAGTATTGTGTATGCTTCTGTAGTTCATCTAAGAGAGTCGCAAAGCAATCAAAAAAATTGAAACTCACTACGATGCAACAATAATGTAATATTATTGTATTTTTTCTCCTGAGTGGCCATACAAAACACAGATATATCCAAATATGTCAATTTAGGAATGCCTTCTGAGAGTTTCTTTATTTTACAAATTTAATTTCCATCTAATTTCAAACTCACGAAAACTATTTAACCGAATTGCAAAATTACCCAATTGTACCAACAGATGTTCCAAGATCAACTTCTTTACAGCGCAGTCTGTTTTTAATTTGTGATTGCTTATGGAGTCGTTTTATCCCGAATATAGTTATTATTGTTCTTCTTCTTCTTCTTCTTCTTCTTCTTCTTCTTCTTCTTCTTCTTATTATTATTGGCGAATATGCCATTACTGACCACGCTACACGATTAACGTGTGTAATTCTTCCAGGATCAGCTTTTCGCTGTATCCTTTGGCATTTACGACAAGGTTGTTACGCCTTGAATGTGAATTATAGATGATAGGTTGATAGAGTAAGGGACAATCATGGATTAGGAGATGATAGGATATTGGTATGAAGTGATCATGGACTTTTTGACCATCCCAGCATTCGCCTTATGACGCAGGGAAACTGGCGAAAACCCCGGTCAAGATGGGCCGGCCCCGTGAATCGAACCCGGACTTCCGATTACATCAGCCCGCTCGCACAGGCCACTTCGCTCGGTATGTGATTATTATATTAATTATTATTATTATTATTATATATTATATTAATTATTATTATATTATATTATTATTTATTATTATTATATTATTATTATTATGTATATTATTGTATCCCTTGCAAGACAAGGATGATAAGTATTGAACAATGAGTAGACAAGATGATAATGATAGGTGATGGTGGACTATCTCATTCGCCTAGGGAAATATGGCCGAGGAAAACAACGAAAACCGCGGTCAGGATGGCCAGCCCGGGGATCAAACTATGAAGTAATGTAATGATTTGTCACACACCTTGTGACCCTACGCTCCCAACGAATGCTCATTATGCCAACGCATTTTCTATTTTCGTTAATACTACTTTTCGGAAATAAATCTTCTCGAACTCTACTGAAATAATATACAATGAAAAACTTCAATCGGTTATTTTCTTTAAATAACTCAGAAACAAGCATCTTTGTTATTAACTTTTATTATACGTACTTCTTTTTATTAGTGATGCATACTGACAACCTTCTGTGGAGTATTGATGTGTCACGTTCCAACTTCCGTATTTTCAATATCGTTGTTGTAAGAAGACCAATGTTGATGACCAAGAATGTACACACTGGACCGTATCCAAAAAAGAGGGCTTCCAAATTTAGCGAGTATCTCCACTCTGAAATCAATATTGTTAAAACAACGTCAGAATTATAAATTTATATTATATAGATGAATTTGAGAGAATTTGAGGTGAAGTTATATTATCAATGTTAAATAAATAAATTAGTAATATATAAGACCTTTCTTAGAAATAATAGTAACAAATTATAATATCTTTACTACACATACAAACACTTACTATCTTAACTACACATACTAACCATTTCAGGTGAATCAGGATCGCATGCGACACAGGACAGTGACAATTTACATCCCAATACCAATTCGCATATTTACTTTTTTCTTATATTATATAAGAAAGAAATAATTTTTCATTTATCGCATGCTAAATACGTAATATAGAGAAAGTATGTAATGTTGCAGGAAAATGGTGTTTTTTGGTGAAGGTAGGACAAGAAAGAGAAAGAAAATATTGCACGCGGTTGATAGCCCGTTTGTTAGGGTTCTGCTCCGGCTTTTGTCGGAGAAACCACGGAAAACTACCGACCTAAGCAAACGAACACTAGAATTCTCTTCCAGACAGCGACTTATAATTCGACCTAGTAGCTGGTGTCGAAAATTCTGCCACAGTAGAGACTAGAACCCTAGATTCTTCAGGTCAGACGCACTGCAGTGACATCAATTAATACTTTGAGCCACATAACCCGGTCTTTGGGTTTGAAACTCTCCTACAACTGGAATGTTTTACGTTGTGTGTGTGGCGTGGGGAGCACGGCGAATTGCTCGCATGATACACCTAAGCCTTATCTTTACTTATATAATATTTTGCCCTGACAAGTAAATGTATTGTAATTTAACATATATTACACGCTTAACAATGACACCGGTACCGAGATGGTACTAGGGATACCATGGGAAAATAAGTAAAAGTACAGAATCTAGGTAGGTTTAAGTGATATTTAGAAATTGCGAAGACGCTCTTCACGGCTAAAGGAGCAGTAGGTAACGCGAGAGACCCTGGTAGTTCTTTCGATGCTGATAAATAACATATGGGAAAAATATTGGGAAATTTCTGAAACCTCGCCCACCACTCAAAATAATAAGGAACTAACAAGTAAGAGAGAATCTGTGCCATTTTGTATAATCATTATTATCCTTTGGTAATGATTCGAACTATCTTCAAAGCCTCTACTCAGAAGAAGTACGAGTATAACCTTTTGAACGTTATAGAAGAGTAATCTTTAAAAATCTACTGTACAGGCACCCAAATCAACAAAATTACAAAAAATACGTTTTATCTAATTGAGGTGAAGACGGTTATTATTTTACCCCTGAAATGACTCATTATGTATACATATATGCACATAATATATCAGTTAGCAATCTAATCCCTTATAATGAGAACTTTATGCACATAGAAAACTCTGATGAAGTTCATATTTACCGTCAGGGTAGAAATATGTTTTGGTGTGGTACACGAATGAAATGATATCTCGATCGTCGTACTCCCTCCACGGCTGCGAGGCTAAGAGCACAGTGTGGAGCATAGAGCCGCCCCACGCGTACGCGCAGTAGCACGCGAACGGTGCCCAGCGGTTTCTTCTTTTACGAACTTCCAAGGACGTCCTAAAAACAAATTACTCTGTATTGAGGATAAAAGCCTTGATTTTAGGGAGAATAAAAATGTATCTTACCCGAGACCCCTGGCCATGTTGAAGCACATTATATTGAGCCATAGAACGGAAGACATAATAAAGAAATTCAACACAAGAAGAACTGCAAGAGAGACAATTTTGTAAAGATAAGTGTGATATTAGAGAGAAGGAGAAAAATAAATTGTTGTTTAGTTATTTTTTTTAATTTTTACTCTTTTTAATGTCCTCATTACATTCACATATTCAGCATGTTGTTTTAAGGTTTTACCAGAAAAATTAAGGTTATTTATATCATTGTCCTAACATTATTTAGATCGTATACCTTTGAGATAATCGCTTTCTGATAACTAATTGGCAATATTTAAATCAGCTCTTCATTACAAAGATGCAAATAACATATTAAAAAATACGTGTGCATTGTAAAAAATGTAATAACAATACATCGTTGACGGAAACAATCGCGAACATTCAGATAATTGTCATTATTTAAACATCGATTTAATCTAGTTTAACTTCTATACTCGCAAATTACTTTTATGTCATTTACAAAATGAAATAAAATTGCGAGCTTAATAACAGCTACGTATAATTCCTAAACTGTACGAGTTAATTAGTCACATTCTAGAATTCTGCATGATGATTAAACATAATAGATCGTTAACATTTCGCCATTTTAGATAACTCCTGTGACTGCGTGTTTTAACAGGAAGGGTGGAAAGTAATACTTCTGATGTTTTCATATAATATAGAAAATTATAATAAAAATACGATACTATTTATGTTTAGAAATTTTAAATGGAATGCAGATAGTTTTCTAATACAGACATTCTGCACATAGTTGTAATACAGAAAATAGATAAAGATTAGTAATATAGTAATAATTATTTCAATAACGATAATAATATTATAATATTGGTAGATTTAATAACATTAAACATAAAATTTAATATTATTAGAGCCCGGAAGTTTAGGAATTTATTTTATCTAAAATGGGGAGGCAAAAAGATATTTATTTTTAATAAAATAGGCTTGCAAAGAGAGACTTATATTAGTTAAAGTATACTTGTACATCTAGTAGATGAAAAAAGTTAAATAGGCACCATTAAAAAAATTACTGTAAAAAAATAGTAATTAAAATGTTTCAAATTTTTATTGCAAGTCTAAAATTTACATCAGCAGTTACATGCATGAAAACGATCTATGTATTTGAAATCTTTGATTGCACATGACTACCCGTATGATGTCAATGAATGTGTTTCACTTCCGACGCGGACTCTATGGAATGGTATTTCGGACTCTCTTTTTTTGGAATGGCATAGGTGCGAACGCAAGTTTTCGCTCTTAGGACTTCTGTATTTGGCAGCACTGAGAAGCATCGTACGTCGGGTATATAGATCACGGTCCTCGAAAGGGACGGGAAATTTAGATTTATTTAGTCAAAAAAAAGTAAAGTAAAACTGTATGTGACGTATGGGTGAGAATATTTATCTGCGCACGTATTCTTGAGTTCCAGAATCCCTTCACTATAAATAGTTGAAAGATAAGTAAAAGTTTAAAATAAATAAATGAAAATAAATTTAAAAACACGCACGTTTGGCAATATTTGAAAAAAATAGACATATTTACTTCGGAGTTATAGAAAATTTATTTGCATCGGAAAACGAATTGCAAGTATGATTTTTCTGCATTGCTAACAAAATAGTAACTCGCTGTACCTCTACTCCTACCACTATATGCAAAAGTAGAGTTCAACAAAACGTGCGCATAATGAAGCTACATTTAAGTCATTTAGACATTTAGATATGACATTTAGGTCGACCATTGTATTATCACGACCACTGAAGAAGAAAAAATTAAAATCTGTTCACGGGATTGGTCAATGTAGTTAGAGAAACAATTGGATACGCCAACGTTTCGAAACGGTAACGTGGTAGGTAACGTGTCATTTTAAGCCATCACACCGAACTCCATGTGGAGTTGCTGGAGCACGTGGGTCAGGTGTGAATCGGGCGAAAGCCTAACCGTAAATGAATGAGGACTGTCCTTTTCTGGAGCATGATAAAAATACTTTCTCTTCTTGCGGAAATAAGGTCGAGAAAGTAAAAAGGAATACAATGATGTACAAGGACAATGCAAATGAGGACAAATACTTATAGACTTCTGAAGCCTTCTGAAAGTCAAAATGAAAATAGATTAAAACAACTGGCAAAGGACAATTAAGTTATTTTTATTGTTGAAGATAATAATTATTACTGATAAGCAATTGTTAACTCAACACACATTAGATATTACTATTTTCATTTTCAATAAATATAATGCATTATTTGCAAGCACTTACTTGTTTCATCATCCCATTTCTGAAGGTAATATTCCCAGAGAGCATAGATGACATGCCCAATGAAAAGACATAAAATGTGACACAGAAGAGCTTTTCCGTGAATGGTCCTGTAAATATCTGAACGACTTCCAAGGATTATCAAACCTACTGCCAATGCAATAGCCGCAAGCACAGAGAAATGCCGAAATACCAAATAGTATGCTAGTACAGTTTTACTTGAGTGATGACAAAATCCTACTGTCTCATTCTCTTTTATTGAGTCGAAGAATGATTCAAAACATTTATAATTTTGCACATCATATTCATTCAAAGATAAGGCTAAATTTTCATTTATGTATTTAAAAGCTTCATCTGGCTGTAATATTTTGAATTCTCCGCTACTACAGAGCGAGATGCTTCCATCCATAATGTCTGTAATGGTGGTGTTAGGAAAATAGCTGCGAAAAACAGAATCTTCGGCTGACCATGTGTTACTTTCAGCATCTTCACACTTTGCAACAGAATTTCTTAATTGAATCTGTTGACCAAATTTGCAACATTTTCTAATGGTAGTGAAATTGTTTTCTGTATCTAAGCACATACGAAATACATGAGAACTTTGTGATTCAGATAGCGAGTCCAAGCAATACTGAAAATTTCCAAATTCAGCATTAAACGTATTGCCGTCAATATATGTCAAACTAACAATCAAAGTATAATTATCTGTGATTCTGTAGCGGTCGGTATTATTAGTATTTAATAAAACGAAAAAATCAGTATTGCAAACATCTGTGTTTCTGTATTCAACAAATAATTTCTGGCGGGGCAATTTATTCAATACAGATGAGGGCAACCAGTAAAGCTTCTGTGATTCGAGTTCAGCTGGATCACCAATGTCAACGTACTCGCCTTCTTCCAGTATTTGCGTTTTATATCCTGCTCGTTTAACACAGTCCCTTCCATTTGAATGAAGCTCCTCACCATTTCGACAACATTTAAGAATTGGGTCTGGATCAGGTAATTCATCACATAATGTCACGGACAAAACAAAACACAGAATTAACGGTATCATGAAAAAGGTCACTGAGTTGCACACTATACTAAACTGTAAAAAAATTTGTTTGGAAACTTGTGCATATCACACTGAATTGTTTTTTCTTTCTGCTTATTGAAAACCTGCACTCATAAATTTTAAAAACGAACTCCGATATTCGAAAATGCACATATTTTACAAGATTTCACATACACGATTTTACGAAAACAGCTTCTTATTAATCACAGCAGTCGTCTTCTGAAGCTTTAATGAACGAGGTATATTCAATGTAGGGCATCCAGCTGCTAGGAATACTTCACTATTGCCTCACTGTTAATACTGAAAACATTCTGAAGAAAACAGGCTCCCCTCCTGTAGCGTTGCATACGCAACTGTACAACCTCTTGCCTGATAAGGGTTTCCGTTTCCGAGTTGTGTGCAGTCGATGATACCTTCATCCTCCTTAAATCATATTGTGGGTTTCTGAAATCGTACCATGTTTAAACACTATTTTGGTACTTATTTGACTTGAGCCGTAATTTTATTGTAAGTCGTTTTGAAGGAAAGTTAGCTGTTATTATTTTAAACTACATTTTATTGTTTCATTTTAATCAAGTTTGAAAGAAATTCAATGGAAGAAACAGTACGAACAATTACAATTTTGAATTTACATCATACAAATTTGAACCTTAATATAGATTAAAAATAACTCAATGAATTCGTTAAAATTGTGTTGATATATTGGTATATCACATACAATAAATAGAAAATAACTGTTATTGGTAAGAAAGGACAATGAACAAACAGCAGTGATACGAGAACAACTCGCTCTTTAACTAATTCCTTATTCCATTAAAAAATGATTTCCTCTGACAATCGACGACTGATGCAACATACGAGTAGTTTTACTTTCTCGCTTTACTACGTAAGAAGAAAAAATGTTCTACCCCTTTCTCCGGAAATCAACGATTCGTCGACAGACCGGGTCTTCGTAAAGAGAGAGTAGATAAATCTTGTTCCTACATATACTAAATTGCATACTCTAACACGTTGTGTAGTGATAATCTGTTTTGTGGGTTCTCAATATCGATCGAAATCGATTGATATCGCCCTTCTATGTTTCGTTAATGCTAGCCCCTAAACCGTTCTCTAAAATTGATATTTCTCAATTGATTTAAATGTACATGAGACCTTGCGTGTTTCAAACGGTTATTTTAATTTTTGAAAGTACTTTACAGCCACCATATTCAACGACATTTTCAAACTTTTCCTAAAAATGGATCCACATGTTTGTATAACTTTTTCCTCGGAGAGCGAAAACAAGTCTTAAGGAGTAGAGCTGGTGTCATTTTCGTTCAAATATCTGAACATCGAAAATTGTGAACGTTTTAACTTTATTCGGGGTTTTCCTAGAAAATTCAATATAGAAATTGTTTCCTGAGTGAAATATGTTATTCAAAGACAATCTTGGAATAAGGTCATTTACATTTTTTTGGAAATATTAGTAATTTTTGCATGAAATGTTGATTTTGCATGAAATTTTGGCAATCACTTTCTCACAAATCGGCTTCATTTTTTTCTTTAAATGTTCTCTTCTTATGCGTTTTAATATGTATTTTGATATATCCTCTCATAATAGTTTCAAACACAGGTAGTTTTTGCATGATTTTGAATCTAATTTTGGCAATTAATTTATCAAATTAGTCTCTCAATTTTTTCATTAAAAAATCGAATATTTTAATATCATATTCTCAAACTCGTATACTTTCCTGGGTATGATCGCTTTTCAACTTGTAACAAATGAGTCCGCACTAATCAGATGGCATCAGTGTCCATTCTGAAAGATCAAAGGAGGCTATAACATGTAGTATAGGTAAACAGATAGTTATGTAAATATGCGTGAAACCAATGCTGATATTTTAACACTAATACCAGTTTTAGGGCTCCTGATGCATTATGTTTTACGTATCTCCGCATCCATCTGTCCGTCTATGAAAAACACGAGAAACAATGGGCTAGTATTTTCCCAAAATCAATTTCCTCGACTCGTCTCGCACGACTGGATGCTTTGCCAATTTGAAACGAATCTTTCAATTTTGGAGGATACTTGCCATATAATCTGTATATTTTCAAAATTTTCTCGAAAATGATTTCAGTTCTTTCGTTTACAACTTCCGATTTAATATTGTTGAAAGCGTTTTTAAAGATAGCACAAGTCCCGTTTCAAGCGAACCCTCTGAGTTTTTGAACATTTCAAAAAGTTAAGAGTAGGGATCTCTTTACGCGCCATTATTGACGCCATATATTTTTTGTAAAAGATATTTGTTCTTTGCAGTATTTTCAAATAATATCTTGTCATACACAAATTTTGTTTTGCTTTAAGTAAATACTAGGAGTTTGAATAAATTTTAAAATTATATATTTTATCAAATATGGATCTAGTATGGTCTGTGCGTCCGTCTGTCCGCGTGTCCGTCTGTCCGCGTGTCCGTCTGTCCCGTGTCCGTCTGCCTGTCCGTCATGTCCGTCTGTCCTGCGTGTCGCGTCGTTGGTCCGCGTGTCCGTCTGTCCGCGTGTCCGTCTGTCCGCTTGTCCGTCCTGTGTCCGCGTGTCCGTCTGTCCGCGTGTCGTCTGTCCGCGTGTCCGTCTGTCCGCGTGTCTCTGGCCGCGGTCCGTCTGGCCGCGTGTCGTCTGGCGCGTGTCCGTCTGCCGCGTGTCCGTTCTGCCGCGTCCGTCTGGCCGGCGTGTCCGTCTGGCCGCGTGTCCGTCTGGCCGCGTGTGTCCCTCGTGCCGCGTGTCCGTCTGCCGCTGTCCGTCTGCCGCGTGCCGTCTGGCCGCGTGTCCGTCTGCCGCTGTCCGCTGGCCGCGTGTCGTCTGCCGCGTGTCCGTCTGGCCGCGTGTCGTCTGGCCGCGTGTCCGTTCTGGCCGCGTGTCCGTCTGGCCGCGTGTCCGTCTGCCCGCCGTCTGGCGCGTGTCGTCTGGCCGCGTGTGTCCGGTCTGCGCGTGTCCGTCTGCCGCGTGTCAGTCTGGCCGCCGTTTCAGTCTGCCGTTCAGTCTGCGCGTGTCAGTCTCGTGTCAGTCTGCCGTGTCAGCTGCCGCTTCAGTCTGGCGCGTGTCAGTCTGCCGCGTGTCCCAGTCTGGCCGCGTGTCCCGGTCTGCGCGTGCTCGTGCGTGTCCGTCTGGCCGGCGTGTCCGGGTCTGGCCGCGTGTCCGTCTGGCCGCGTCTCCTGATCATCGCGATTCCCAGTGTGTTTTTTAAGTTTCCTTTCGTTCTATCACCTCCTTGGCCAAAAATGGTCTTCGTCTTTTGCCCACAGAGGAAGTCGAGTGATGGTCTCACGAAGGCGGAAATTTTCTTCCGCTCTCTCTGCCATTCGCCCAGATAAGAAGCTAGCGCGTGAAGTGATGTTGGATGCAAATGTAAATTCAACTAAGTAACGTTCCCACGCACTCTGTATTATAATGTTTTATTTACTTTATGGCTCGGATTTTAGAGGAGACTGCTGCTGTGCTTCCTGAGGCAGAATCCCTAGAAGACCATCTTCTGGTGTCCCCGCTATTGCATTTGAGTTGATATATGATGATTTTGGTAATAATGTGAACAATGTGAACAGTATGCATGAAAAGGTGATAAGAGATACGTGAGCGCACCTGGTGGTGAACCCGCTATACTACAAATTTTACTGGGATCCCGCTGGCATCGAACTCCGGCCTCAGCTGTGGAACGCGCGCTAATTTACTCATCCGATCTCTCTTTTTTTTACGTTACAAATGAATGAATTGTAGAGTTTCTTTACTCATAAAAGCTGCAGTGCTATTCGTTTCAAGATAATTGAATATTTATTTATTTATTTATTTATTTATTTATTTATTTATTTATTTATTTATTTATTTATTTATTTATTTACGTAAAAAAAGTTAAAAATTGTGTTTGACGTGCTATGGGGAGAAGTTAATGTGAAGTTACATCTGCAGTTAGTTACAGTCAAAATTGCCAAGCAATGTAACTAAAATGCAACACGCACGGCTTGATAGTATTCGCCGCCATTAAAAGTTGAATGAGAGCAAGTATACATTTAATATTTTACTTTTATTATTAAATTATGAATGTAATGTAACCCTAATTTTCATCATTCTGAAGACTTTGTTGCATTAGATTTGCATTCTTATAAATCAACGTTTTAATACTTTGAAGTGAAATAGAAGAAAATATGATTTGTTTGAATTTAATTTTTTGTTTAAAATTGATATTTTCGTTGGTAATAATTCCATGAATGAAGTAATGCAGAAATTTATTAAATTGATTATAGGCATATTATTTAGAACGTTTTGTGTAAGAAAAATTGTAACAAGATTTTAGTAGAAGAAACTAATGCTTCAGAAATTAATGCTTCAAAATTACAGAGACTTTCTCATACGAATTTGTTACCTCTTCTCTTGAGTCTGGGGTAGCTATTCTTTGACCTCTTCTCAGCTGCTATCTATATGAGTTTAAAATACAACCTTTACGAATCTCGGTATTTGTGCAATTTGTGCGATCCAGTTAACCTTCACGCACAGATTACACACACAGTTTCCTGTCAGGCCAAGAGGTAATGGAAAAGGTTATGAGGATGTACATGTAACATACACAAATGACAGTAAAATTTTACTATAATTTTCTCGGCCATCGGCTATCGTTTTCTTACAAAATAAATAATTTTATTACAAATAATTAAATTAAACTGTTTATAATGTTTTGCTGCTTTCTAATCTTGGTGAAACTCAGCAATTCAATTCCGTTTAAAAGTAGGAATAATTACGTTTCGGACATCGTGGAGGAAATTATGTTCCGCACGTGGATGGAACTGTCCCGCACGTGGTCGTAACGTAACGATAATAATACGTGTTACAAATATACTTCGCCTTCTTCTTGTATGGACATTCTTTACAAGTCTGTGTAGTCTTCAGGGACGACAATTGAGGCTACCGTTATGTAATTCTTGTATGTATGAGTCTTTCTATTTTACAGGAGCTGGTGCATTCAAGTGAAATAAGTGCTACTTGTTCTAACAGATTTTGCATATGATTACGAAAAATTCTGTGACTACATCCAATTCCAATTACCCTACTGAATCATCTGAGGGTTCTGGCCAAGTGTATACTACAATCTAATGATACAGTCCACTTTCAATTCATTCATATCCTAAACCATACATTATGAACATTGACTAATTTCATAGTGTTCCTTGATTGATTCAATGATGTACTGCTAAAGTTTTCCAGAAAGAGAATCAGTATGGCTGTAAAAATGTTGAGGATTTTCTTTACGAATACCTGTGAGGAGCTATATAATACC